TCGGTGAACCTCACACAACTTGTCTGCCCCACTGCCGACACGCACTGGGCTGCCACACACTCACCCACGTGCCCTGGATACATGTGAGGTCTGGGTGGGCCGAATGGTGTCACTGCTGGTCCACAGGACCCACGGGGTAATGCCCCTGAGCTCCCCGCTTTGGCTCACCTGGTGTGGCCTCGACCTGTTGGGGGTGTGGCGTTTCACCTGCACCTCCATGCCCGCAGGCAAGCCTCTGCCTGTGCCAAGGGCGCCTTGTGCTCCGCCTCCGGTTCCGCCCGTTCCCGGGGCTGGACCCTTTTCTGGGCTGTCCGCCTTCTCTCTGTGCTGGCTCCTAATCCTAGTCTTATGTGCAGTTATTTTCTCCCAGATGAACAATTTTAATATAAATAAACTCCAGGGCAATTAAGTCAAATGGAATAAATGCAGTGAATGCTGTTTCTTTTTAAATTTTAATTTGAGGTTTCTTAATGAGTATTTGCTTTGGGGAAGTGCTGAAAGCCAGGTTCAAAAGCAGTCATTGGCCACCTGCCATGTGTCCAGCTCATGCGCAGGCTGGGGCATGGCTGTTGGACAGACAGACACCTCTTCTCTAAGGCAGGCTGCATGCGTGCCGTGGCGTGGGGCCTGCATGCAGGTGGCTGCTCTGATGCTTTCCCCCTCCTTCCCCTCGAAGCTGTGACTGAGGAGGAGCTGTCCCGGGCGTTGATGGAGGGAGAGGAGGTCACGGCCCCCAGCAGAGAGGGCATGGGGAACGGCAGGCCCGAGCTGTCCTACGCCCTGAGTGCCATGAACGCCGCTGCCGAGACCCGAGGGGACGCGCTGAGCTACAGCGAGGAGGAGGCGAGGTGCGCAGGGGTCTGTCGGGGTTTGCCCTCTTGAGGAGAGCCAGCAGCCATGTCTCCTTTTTCTGGGGAGGGAGGGGAGCGAATTGCCCTGGGTGGTCCTTTCTCACCTGACCTCATGGCCGGAGAACACTCCAGGCACAGCAAGTGCGCGTGCGGAACCAGCCCTTCACGGGTGGCCTGGAGGTGGGGCTCGGTGAAGGGGATCAGTGGGCACATGGGGGCCAGCTGGCAGAGGGAGTACCAGCTGGAGGAGCCTCCAGGGCAGCGGAGGGCCGCTGAGGACAGTTGTCTGATTGTCATGGACGTTGTAGAGACGGTGGTTTCCAGCGGGGCTGCCAGGCTCCGTGTACAGCAGGCAAAGCGCTATCTCTCACATCATGTGTGTTTAGTCCTCCCACCCTTGACCCGGGGCAGGCACCCCAGGGCCCCAGGGAATCCGAGAGAAATGGGTGCTGGAGCACCTTCCCCCCCTCCAGTCGGGTCCTGCTGTCCCTCCAGAAGTGATGGCACGTGGTGGGCGTGTGGCTTCGTACTGGCGGGTGGGAGAGCCACTGTTCAGTGTCTCTGGCTCACTATGGTCTGGGCTCTGGGCTCTGGGCTCTGGGCACTGACTCTGCAGAAACGGGCCCTGAGCTGCCCAGCCCTCACGCACTGTCGTCACCCCTCACCAGCACACAGGGACAGCTTGGCCTGAAGCCCCCTGCCCGGGACCGGTTTCCTTCCTTCCCACAGAGGGAGGCTGTAAGCAGCCGCAAGAACAGGGTAAGTGTGATGGGGTGGCCGTTGGCTGCCTCTGCCCAGGGTGTGGGAATTGTGGGAGTGGGACGGGGGCTGGAGACACCACAGGGACTAACAGAGCCAGGCTCAGGTGAGGGTCTCAGGAGGTGGGGGCTCCACAGTCCCCTTGTATCCTCTGAGCGCATGGTCTCACAGCGCGGTGTGCTGAGCCACGGCCATTCCTATGGGCATCTCACAGGAGGAATCAGCTCACCTAGTCCCACGTGTGCAAAATATCCCCCAGTTTTCATAGCAGAAATGGCAACGTTTCCCTGCTTGAATGCAGGTAGAAACCGAGTATACACACACATTGACACACATGTCTGAGCACATGTTACTGAGTCGCCCTTGGCCGCTTCTGCTCGACCACTGACCAGCTGTGTGATTGAGGGCCAGTGACTCAGCCACTCTGGGCTTCCAGGCTGTGAGCATGAGAGATGGCATGCAGGGAGCCCACAAGGCAGTGAGCGCCACCCCAGAACTGCAGCTGGCACCTTAGGCTGCACGAGTCTCCATCTTCCCATGTGTCGGCGGGTTGCATGGAAGGCTGATCCCCATGACGTGGCGTGCTGCTGGCCAGGGCTCTGGGCACGTTATGGTGTGGGCAGCCTGGCCTTGCCGGGGGTGGCACTCAGCCAGTAACTCTGTGCCCCCAGAACAACGTCCTGACTGCCATCCTCCTGCTGCTTCGGGACTTGGACACTGAGGGGCTGGAGGCCGTGCACCAGACCGTGGTCAGCAGGCTACAGGCTCTGCACAGACAGGAGCTGCAGGAGGACATGGAGTGACCCAGCGGGGACCTGCCCTGTGAGACCTTCTGCTGAAGTCCCAGCATCTTCCCGAGCACCCAGGAGGTGAGGCCGCTTGCCACAGCACAGCCACTGCGGGACCCTAGGCCGAGTCCCAGCACCTGGGCTCAGTCCTCAGGAAGCCTCAGCCCGCCCTGGAAGGCTGAGCTCTCACTTCGGTGGCACCTGGAGAGGGCAGGAGGGCGTCAGGCACTGGCTGGGCAGACCCGCTCCCTCGCCCTCCTGGGGGACGCCCTTCTCCCTAATAAACATTTTCCGAAGCCCGGCCTGGAAGCAGGTTTCCTAAACGATGGGCATGGCCTTGGCATTCACGCATTTCCCGCAGGCCGTCTCTGACTCGGTCATGGGGTGCATTTCTGGGCTCAGGAGCCTTCCAGAATTATGGCCTCCCTGCAGGCAGACGCCCTCCTCAGATTCACATCAGCAGAGGGTGTGTGCAGACTGTGTGACAGGCCTGGAGGGACAGGTCTGCCGTCGGCTTGGGGATCCAGGTGTGGCCACAGGTGGAGCCACTGGGCGGGGTAGGACCGCATCTAACACGTGTTCTTCCTCTGGGAAGAGCAGGCCTTTCCGTGATGCCCAGTATCGGCGGGGATGCTGCAGACCTGGGGGCCTTCCTAGTGCCTCCAAAAGCTAGGGAAGCCCCTCGTGGAAGGGGAGCAGGATGACCCCGCCCCCCACCTCATGCCCCAGGCATTAGAGACAAGTCTGTTCTCGCTGCTGTTGAAACGACTGGAGAGGGAGGCAGGCTCTTCCTCCCTTTGGGATGGGGCTGTCTGCATCCTGAGAGCTGAGCTGCCAGCTGTGTGAGAGCCACACAAACCAGAGGCAAGAGCCACGTGACAACCGCGACGGGCCAGCGTCTGGAAGACCCCAGCTTTCCTTGCGGAGGCTGCATCGTGGGGCCAGCTCTTTGCAAGCTGCTGAAGACCTCCAAACTCGGACTGGGGAGATGAAGCAGAGGCGGGGCCTCCTCTGTGGCGGGACAAGGGGTGAGCTCTGAGCAGTGGGAGGCAAGGGGTCAGTGCGCAGGGTCGTCTGGGAAGGTGGCACAGGCCTGTGCGTGTGCCTTCTCGTCACTGTGGGCTGTTGCTCCCAATAAACCTGTGCCTTGGCTGGAACAGGCTGGGTGTGGTCCGTTGATTATGGACACCCTCTGTCCCCTGCTCACATCAGCGTCCCTCACACCTGGTGCCTCACTTGGGGACCCTGGAATTGGACTCGGGATGAGCTGCCCGCCTCAGCCCTCTGCCCCTCGCTCTTCACTGCCCTGCCGTGGTCTACGCCAGAGCAGAGGCTGCCAGCTCACTGGCCCCACTCCCTGCCACCTGTTCACGGTGGCCCTCGGATCCCTCGTGCTGTTTACCCACGGCCTCTGGTCTTCAACAGGGCGCCTGGCGGCCCCCACCCTGAACTCCCGCACCCTGAAAGCAGGCATTTCGAGTCCAGCAGGCTTGGCATACACCCCGTGTCCTGTTAGCCCCCGTTAACATAGGACAGGAGACCCAGGAGGGCACGTCACTCGTCTGCCGGGCACAGCCCACACTCGGCAGGCGGAGCAGACCCGAGGCCCAGCTCCAGAAACAAGCGCCAGATGAGGCTGGTGTGGCCCCGGCACAGAGCCAGTTCCCCAGGCCCGCTGTCCCCCTGGAGTGACCGAGGCTCCCTGCCAAGGCCTGTCAGTACATGAAGGCAGCCGGAGGGATGAAGGGCCCAACCTGGTCCCTACAGCCACCGAGCCAGGCCCAACCAGGAGACCTCTGCCCAGGACCCCCCCACATGGCCTGTGGGCCCCCAAGGCCAGAGCCTCACCACCAAACCTCACAGGTCCCCAGCCCCTCATCCTGAGCCTCTGCGGGCACTGAGGGCAGGAGTACAGGCCGGAGCTTCCCTGGACGAGGTGCCCAGGTAGCTGCTGTGGGGAAAGACGTGGACAGTGCAGTAAGCTCAGGAGACAGGTCCCGCCAAAGCGTACGCGTACCTCGGTGTCCAGTCAGCTCATCCCCCCGGAGCCAGCACCACGCTGCGAATCGAGGCTCTCCTTGCCCCGAACTGATGGATCAGCCTACCGCCCGTGGCGGTGGTGATGAAGTTTCTGGCTGTTTCCCCCTCCCATTGGTCACCCCCGATCAGGGCCTCCCAGCAACCTCACTCATATCAGCCAATGCCCTGACCGGGACCCCTGGCTCTGCTTCAGAGACCCCAGTCCAGGCTAAGTCTGGGGGACCGTTCAAGGTCAGACTCGGAGCCCAGGAACCAGGCTCAGAAGTCCTCATCCTGGGGGAGGCCAGGCATGTCACCTTTAGGGCAGGGCTGGGGGACACAGGTCACCCCTTAGGACAGAGATGAGGGGCTCAGGAAGGGCCAGTGGAGGCTCAGGTCACCCCATCAGCAGAGGGGCCTCCGGATCTGGGAAGCGAGTGTGGATCCTGGGAAGAGGGTGCATGTCTCCGAGACCCAGACTGGCCCTGGAGCCACAGGACAGCCCCGAGCCAACCGGTTGCCGACGACCATCAGGCCCGACCTCCCTCCTGTCCCACGGGCCCTGCTCTGCAGAGACTGAGCGTCCACTGTCGGGTGAGTTTATTCCTACAAAAGATGGCAGGCTCTGCTCAGCCAGTGTCCAGTGCACAGGAGCAGGGTCACAGCAAGGCCCCTGGGGACAGACCCCCTTGGCACACAGACGGCGCTGGACCCCAAGGGCCGGTGAGAGCGAAGGGCCACCATGTGGAGAGACTCAGGACCATGCAGGGGTCCAAGGAGGAAGGGCAGTGCTGTCCAAGCTAGGATGTCCCGTGTCCCCCTGGAATGGAAGGTGGTACCCGGGGTGCTCTGTCCTGGAGGATGGGGCCATGATCCCCCAGGGCAAGGCTGAGGCCACAGCCTGCCCACTGCCTGCCTGCCCGCAGGCGCCAGGGGCAGCAGCCTGGCGGGGAGGGCGGGGCAGCCTCAGAAGCCCTTGTCGATGCTCAGGGTGCGGCGGGTGACGTGCTCCAGCTCCCCGGACACGTAGTCGGCCATGCTGATGCGGTAGTGCGCCAGCATCTTCAGCATCAGCCGCAGGTTCAGCCACCACTGCTCCCGGGGCATGCGGTGCCTGGGGCCGGGCGGGACCGGGGTCAGGGCACCTCCTCTGAACCCTGGACCCTGCCCAGCCCCCGACATGAGTGGCCCCTGGCAGTGGTGGCCCTCCGGGGCCTGCACCCAGGACGGGCTCAGCTCCAGGGGCAGAGTGGGAAGCCTGTGCATTCGGACCTGACAGTCCAGCTGGCACACCCCAACCCTCCCCTGTCCCAGCACACCAGCCTGGGGGAGTCAGGGCCCCGGGTCCACCCTCACTTCCGAGGGACTCACTCAAAGTCAGTGTCCTTCTTGAGCTCGGTGACAGGGCTGAAGGCCACCGCCTTCTTCTTAAGGCCAATCACGCAGGCCGAGTCGGGGGCATTGGCGAAGACCCGCCCTGTGGACACAGGCATGTGCTGCAGCCACCCCCAAGGCCTGGCCGAGGCACGGTCCGCCGAGCCGCCACCCTACATACCGTTGCGGTAGACGGCCCGAAGCTTCTCGGACATCCAGAGCATGGCCTTCACCCCCAGCTTGGTCCCGTAGTTCCGGTCGAATGGGGTTGGAGCCCCGCCCTGCAGACACAGTGGGTGAGACTACCGGCCAGCAGGGAGGAGAGCCAGCCGAGGCAGGCCTAGTCCCCACAAGTCCCCAAACTAGCCCCGCTGTGACCTCGCTCTCACACATACCCCCTGTCTGCAGCGCCCCTGTCCCTCTTCCACCTCAAATCTGGCCTAAAAGCCACTTCGAGAGGCCAAGGCAGTGACTAGTTAGTCACCAGATGGGATGACTCTGTGGGACTATGCATGTGGCAGCAGATAGGTCCCTGTGAGCAAGGAACACCCAGGGGAGAGCAGCCTCAGGGTGCACACAGCCCTCACATCAGGCTGGGAAACCCCACAGCTCCAGCTCCTTGCAGGGCCGCTAGGAGGCTAATGCAGGGTGGGAATATGGCATGGAGGTGACCACAGGGGCCCTGGCCCTTCCTAGCTGGTGGGGAGGCCTCAGCAGACAGGAGCATGGTCTCCCCACCTGAAGATGATGAGCACTTTGCCTGGGGGGTGAGGACAAAGCAGCCAATGACCTGCTCCACAAAGATGTGCACAAAGGAAGACCTCATCCTGCTGTGTCCTGACCCCTCGCGCAGGTGCAGAGGGAGGCAGGGGGTTAGGGGCCGCACTCCCCACGCCCTACCTGCTGCAGGTGGCCCAGGACATTGGTCCTGCAGTCGAAAATGCCCTTCCCCTCGGAGGAGTAGAGGTTGTACAGGAACTCCGTGGTGTAGTGATCGTGGCATTTCTCGTTTCTGGGGAGAGGAAGAGGAGGCCTGAGTGAAGTGGGGGCCGGCTCAGGCCTCGCTCACTGCTGAGCCTGCTGGGTCAGGCCACGGGCCTCTGGGAATGCTGACCCCACCCACCCCTCTCCAAGGCCAGCTCCACCTTGTTGACCCACAGCCAGGGTCTGGAAGTACCTGCCTCGCGAGGCTTGGGCCGACCCTCCCCCTGCCGGGGCCCAGGCCCACCCGCGGCCTCACCGTAGCACCAGGCCCCTCTGGATCTCTGTCTTCATCTTCTCCGTCATGTGTTCCACATTGGCCTGCAGGAGTGAGTGACACGGTGAGCCGGGGCTGGGGCAGCAGCCATCACTGTCCCGCTGCAGCCAGACGGCAGGCTGTCTGGGCAGGAATATTTCAGACTGACAGCTGGAGCCAATGTGACCAGAGGTGATGGGGGGTGCCCGGGGGCCTGCAGGTGGCAGGGGGCGCTGAGAGGTATCGGTTGGGGCATGAGGCCACGGGAGCCACAACATGGACACAAAGTGGGAGACGCAGGAGGAAAGGGGTGCAGGGTCACGGGCCAGGCCCCCTCACAGGCAGTGAGCCCCCAGCCTGCTGAGCCGTGGCTCCGTGGCCGGGCCCAGCCTCTGCACCAGGAGGGGACCCACTCAGCCCCGCGGAGGGAGGGGGCTGAGGCTCAGCTCACCTTTAAGTCTTGGATGTTAAAAGGGTCCTCAAAGATGTAGGCGGCGTCGGCCCCCACGGCGATGCCGGTCACGGTGGCCAGGTAGCCACAGTAGCCGCCCATCGTCTCCACGATGAACACCCGGCGCTTGGTCCCCGAGGCCGACTGCTTGATTCGGTCACAGCTCTGGGGGGGCCAGGGGTGGTCAGGGTCCTCCCCAGTGGGCAGCCGGGACCCGCTATGCTGCGGAGACCAGGCCTCTCCCCAAAGCTGACTGAGGGTCACAGGAGGCCAGGGCAGTCCCATGCCCCACGTGCCCCGGGGACGACAGGAGCGCCACTGGCTTCTATTAGTGCGGCCAGGGACTCGCTCAGAGGTCTTCCCTGACCTGCACGCGGGGGCACTGCGGCCGGTGTAGGTCACTGTGACTGTGGCCTTGGATGCCAAGGATAATGTGACATAATAACCCTAACTCGGAACACTTCAGCGTGTGAAAGAGAATTGTAACGTTAAATAGAGAATCGAACAAAAGGAAATAAAACACCTAGGTTCCTGGGGTCTGGACCAGGAGGCCCTCCCTACCTCCATGGCGGCGTTGACGGCGGTGTCGGAGCCCAGGCTGAAGTCTGTGCCGGGCACGTTGTTGCTGATGGTGGCTGGGATGACGCACATGACGATGCACAGCTCCTCATAGGAGCCGCGCGCCTCCACCAGCTGCAGCACCCCCTCGTAGGCCTGTGGGGGGCGGGGGCTCAGGACCAGAGAGGCTGGGCTGGGGCAGGGGGACGGGCCCCACCCAGGGGCTCTGCAGCCCCTTGGGCCAGGGAAAGTGGGGCCCAGGGAGGACAGGGAGGAGGCCGGCAGGGCCTGCCCCCACCCCGTCCACTCCCTGCAGTCTGCAGGGGGCTCGGGCTCCTCCGGGGAAAGCAAGAGCGTCTGCCAGTCACGAGGGCTGCCAGCACCCGGGTCACACAGCAGTGCCCACTGCTCAAAGTCCACCCAAGACCACCCTGTGCGCGGCCACCACACAGGCCTCCTGCCCAGAGTGCCCCACCCCCACCTCAGGGGCCAGACGCGAACTGCTCCCTGTCCTTCAGCCAGAGCTGCCTTGCTCCTCCTCCTGCCCTGCTCCCCCCACCCCAGCGCCGGGGCTGCCAGCTTTCATCTGAACTGCGAAGCCTTAAGGCAAAAACCCTCCCCAAACCAAACACCGCTTTCCTTGGACCCTGCCAAGAACCTCCCTGCACACGGGGTTCCTGGAAGGGCCACCTCAGCAGCCCAGACGGCACCCCTGCGGGGGCCTCACCTCGAAGCCTCCGATGACCAGCAGGGCGTGGATGTTGTACTTGCGAATGTTTTCCACGATTTTCTCCATGTAGCTCTTGGGCAGCGTCCTGCAGTGGGAGACAGTGAGACGAACACTCAGTGTCTGCACAGACCGCCAGGCCGGAAGTGCACACACTGCACTGACCTGCACCTGACCTGGTTACAGGCGGAAGCAGAGGCTAGTGCCTGAGGCATATGGGGCACGGGCCGACAGTGCCCCTGCCAGGAACTTGTCAGGTGGTGGAGGAGCCCCTCCCCCGCATGGCCTAAGTGAGCTCTGAGCAGACGTGGGCCGCCCAGCAGCCTTCCCGTGCACAGCTGACCCCAGGTGAGCCCTCAGCCAGGAAGCCCAGGCCGGAGGCTCACAGCGGTTCTCAACCTGTGGGTCGCGACCCCTTTGGCGGTCGAACGACCCTTTCACAGGGGTCGCCTAAGACCATCCTGTATATCAGATATTTACATGATGATTCATAACAGTAGCCACATGACAGTGATGAAGTAGCCACGAAAATAATTTTATGGTTGGGTCACAACATGAGGAGCTGTATTGAAAGGGCCAGAAGGTTGAGAACCCCTGCAGAGCATGCCCTGGCAGGTCACCAGCCAGAGGGGGACCTGGCCCAGGGCCCAGGGTGGGTTTCCCCTTGCAGCCCCCATTCTCCCCGCTGAGCTTACACCCTGGTCGCCCAGCCGCCCATGGGGGCCAGCTGCCAGCCACTCACCTCTTGGTGCCCAGCATGGAGCCTCCCCGCCCCAGCCAGCCGGCCACGTCGTGCCAGCTCACCTCTTGCACCTGCAGGAGGGAGGCACAGCTTCAAGGGGACAGGCCAGAGGTGCTCACGGGTTCCACCTCAGATGACGGCCCTGTGCCCAGGGGCAGCATGCCCACAGGGAACAGCAGGGTCCGGGGAGCCTGGCCCAGGCAGCCGGCCTGGACCCATTCCCCTCCCCGGGAGCTCGCCCCTCGCCCTCATCCTCCGATCTGTCTTCTTCATGGGCCTGCGTTTCGGCATCCAGAGCCCCTGGTTTGT